AGGCGGCGGCCGCTCTGGCAGCAGCCATGCCAGGGGCTGGAGGGGCCAAATCTGAAGCCAGAGGCAACGGCCCTCTGCCTGGAGGAGGAGGGCTCATGGAGGAGATGAGTGCCCTGTTAGCAAGGAGGTAGCGACACATCATATATTACTCTTCGATTCAGTACGTCTCAAAATAGGCACTTGAGTCATATGAATGAATTTCAGATCTTGTTTCATATACTACAGAAAAGTGAAACTTGACACAGTTGCCATACAGTAGATTTAGCAAACCCCAATGTTGGTCGCAATGGATTTTGTTGTGCCACCTGAAGAATAAGTTCATGTACTCATCACTCTCACTATTCCTCAGTATTATGAGATGATATGTAGTAAAATCGTAATTTAAATGCACTTTGTTGCTGACAGAGAAGTATCACTGTAAGATCTAGAGAAATCTAAGGAATTTAGGTTTTAAAAATGTGGAGTTCAGGAGGAATTGTGTGGTCTGTGCTTTATGATATTAACATTAAACATGATGATATGTTTTTAAAAATAGCAACTGTTTTTCAGAAATAATTCTGGACTCTGTCTTACAGGAGAAGAATTGCAGAGAAGGGCTCATCACCTGAACCTGACCAGAGATCAGTAAGTACCATTAGATCCTTCTTGTCTGCTGATGTCATGGGGTAGGACTGGATAAGTCTGACTTCTTCCTACTCCATTCAAGCATGTACTAGGTATAAGCAAATTGATATTGGATTAGCATTTGTTGGATATGTGTAAAATTATGTGTGTTGATATATCAGCTGTCTTTACATGCTTGAAAGAATAAATCAAATCAAATCAAATCCAATCAAAGGAAGGTTCTGCTGAGATTTTCAACTGTAGGCCTACTGTCAAGATCATAATTTTTTCCTCCAAGTTTAACTGTCTGGATAAACATTCTACTGATTTCTACTTTGACAATTAGAGAAGTTACTTTAGTTTGGTTATTGTTGTCATTTTAATTTTCTTACCCTCAGTTATGTTGGTGTATTAACTTGTATTACCTGTATGTTTGGGATTCTCTGTGTGTTAATGCTGAAATTTAGAAGTCGTTGAGTGACAGTTTGTTCAGACTTGCTCATTTCAAGCTTTAACACGGTCAGGTTGAGCAAGAGAACAAACATGAAAAGCGGATTTGGGGCAAATGAATTAAATGTGAGAGAGGTTATTATCACGCACTTGTGGATAATAACAAATGCACAAGTAAACATATTGCCCTCAGAATAGATTTGACTGAAATAATTAGTTACAGCAAATAGAGAATTCCTGCTCAGAATGAGGCACAAATATAATTTAACACTGCTCCACCTACTCTACTACACCTGGTACCATAAAATAAACAACTTTTGAACCTTTTTCAAACAGAACTCGTGGGTGGCGGTGTCACGTTCTAGTGCTGATGAGGAAGGCGACGGCCTCTAGTTTGCTATAAGTAGATAGAGCCGCAGCCCCCCCCCCCCCAAATTATGACCAGTGTTGCATGCTCACAAATTAGATTTGCTGTTAAAGATAAGCCAGTTTAATAAGGGGGCATTAGTAAGAGATACGACCTCAACTCTGGTTTCTTTCTCCACAGGCTCCGTGAACACACAGATGACTCTGATTTGATATTTAATGATGTTTTTAAAGGAACATATTGTTCCTGTCTGAAAACGATGTGCCTCCAGTTTTTGTTGTTCTCATGCTCAGCTGTGCACTGAGGAGGTTTTAATTAGTATGACAGATTTACCACTTGACTGATTTCCCTTTATCCCCCCCCTTAATCTCCATGACAGAACATGTGTGCACACAGTACTAGTAGTTTGTCATCAAGAATGCTAAAAACAACAGTTTGGCCTCAATAATATGCAAATGTATGCACACCAAGGAACACCAAAATCTAATCATATCATCTGCTTCATGTGGTGTAGGTATCAAGTTCCTACTATATATATCATACTTTAGCTGTCATGCTCATGTGTTTACAGAGTCACAGATGCCAGCGGCTTAATGTCCTGTACCCACGCACTGTGGTGGTGGGACATGATGTAAAATTGAGGCATGAATGTGTAGAAAACCTCTAATAAGTTTTGATAGTCAAAGTGTTTATTTGTCATATGCACAGTTAGGAAACATGTTTCCTTGTACAATGAAATTCTTACTTTCCTGTCCACATGAATGCCACAAAAATACAAGTGAAATATAAAGTAGATAAATAAATAACACAAAATCTAAGGCACTTTAGGCAGCGAATGCAGCAATATAATAAAAAAAATATAAGAATATAATAGAAAATGTATGCTGCATGGGAGCAGCATGTGCAGCAGTCAACAGTCAATGTGCAATTATGCATGTGCAAACTGAGAATGTAAACAGTACATGATGTATTTCCTGGTAATAAACTCCTCAGCTGTTTAGGAGTCTGATGGCAGAGAGAAAGAAAGAGTTTTTCAGTCTAG